AGGACAAAAATAAGAATTCATATTATTTTAATAATTAATTTTAAAAAAATTAATATTTTGAGATAATTAAAAAATAAAATAAGATATTAATATTTTTGGATGGTGGGTGTACAACCTAAAAATAAAAATAAAAACAAAAATAAAAATAACTATTTTGTTTAGTCAAATTTTCAAGTGGAGACTAATGGTATTGTTGTTAATAAAATAAAATAACTATTTTGTTAATTTTTTTATTTTCATTCGGCTACCAAATAATTTAGTAGCTAAAGGTAGGTCTTTGGCGACTAAAAGGAATTTTGTCGCCGAAACTTAACATTTGGCGACCAAAATTTTGGTCGGCAAAGATTAAAAATTAATTTTTTTATTTTCATTCGGCTACCAAAAAATTTAGTAGCCAAAAGTAGGTCTACAGCGACTAAAATGAATTTTGTCACCGAAATTGAACATTTGGCGACCAAAATTTTGGTCGGCAAAGATTAAAAATTAATTTTTTTATTTTTATTCGGCTACCAAAAAATTTAGTAGCCAAAAGTAGGTCTACAGCGACTAAAAGGAGTTTTGTCGCCGAAACCTAACATTTGGCGACCAAAATTTTGGTCGGCAAAGATTAAAAATTAAATTTTTTATTTTCATTCGGTTACCAAACAATTTAGTAGCTAAAGGTACCTCTACGGCTACTAAATTTTCTTTTAGTCACCAATTGTGATATGTTTAGCTACTAAAAATTTTTTTAGTCGCAATTGTAATATTTTTAGCTACTAAATTTTTTTTAGTCACCAATAATCAACATTCCCCTACTAAAAAAAATTAGTAGCTAAAAAGTTGACTTTTGCCGACTAATATTATTTTTGATAGCCAATTCTGTGACTTTTGGCGACTAAATTGTTTTTGGTAGCCAAAAATGGTTGGCAAAAATGCATTTTCCTGTAGTGGCTTTGCTTAGTTTAAGTTTTCAAAAATTGATTCGAAGGCCACATTTTAATACTCATTTTAGAACATGTTTAGCAGAGGAGAGAGTTTTTGAATTTTGAATTTTGAATTTTCAAAAGAGCGGATTAGGTTTGCCCGGTCGTCTGCCCAGACATCCTCGCGGGCATTCGACCGGTTGACTGGAATAAATTTTTTTTTTTAATTTTTTACAATTGGCACCTGTTATTTGAAAAAAAAAAATTATTTGTTTTTGATATTTTTTAAATATAGATATTATTTTTTTAGATCAAAATGACAAATTATTTGGTCATTTATTTAAAATTAACCATTTTTTTAATAAAAATTAATTGGTCACAGTAATTTTTAAAAAATAAAAAAATATTTTTAAACAAAACTATTAAAAAAAATTTCAACCAAATATACAATCAAAAGTAATTTTAAAATACTAGATGAATATTTTTTTTAACAAAAACTAATATATATATATTTTTTTTTTCATATTTTTAATTAACAAAATTTGGAATTTTTTTAATTTTTTAAATAAAAAAATTATTTTTTTCAATAATTATTTTTTTGAATTGAATTTTAAAAAGAGTTTGGTTATGAGATTGGAATAAAATTTTCAATAGAGTTTTGGTTGTGTGTTTGGTTATGAATTATAAGTTTGGTTATTAAGTTTTGAAAACTCTCTTGAAAACTCAAAATCAAACAACTTTTTTCATTTCAAAATTCATTTGAAAGATTCAAAATGCAATTCAAAACTCTTTTCAAAACTAACAATTAAATAAATTTTTTCATTTCAAATCATAATTCGACAACTCACAAATTTAAAATATAACTTCATTCTCAAATTATAATTTTAAAATTCGTGTTGCTAGTTGAGATGATCAGTTCAATTCGGTTTAGTATGGATTCAGATAAAATTTAGCATCAAAATGTTCGGTTGAGTTTTCAAGATTAGTTTCTTAATTTTTTTTAGTAACATGTTTGGTTTAGTAATATGCTCTACTTGTCACTTATTTTTAATGCTAAAACAATCAGCAACGAAAGTGTAATTAAATATAATATTTCGATCACAACTGATTGAGATATAATTTGTTGGAAAATTTAGGAAAATATTAAAAAATTAGGTAGTAGAAAATATAATTACAAACTCATGAGACCATCTCCAACGGTGAACCAAACTTGGCATCAAATTTAAATTTTGATGAAAAAAGCTCTTTTTGGTGCTCCAACCGTTTCACCAAATCGATATCAAACTGAGAATTCAACAAAAAAATCATCAAACTGAGAAGCTGCTCCAGATTTTATTAAATTACTGTTCCTGACCATTGCAAAGCTGAACCGGTCAACCAGCTGGTTGCCCGGCCGGTTGACCAACCGGTTGTTAGTCAACCGGTTCATCAGTTATGCGACGGGTTTGAACTGTTTGAACTGGTTGGTGTGAACTGGGCTGTGCGCGTGACTGTTGGAGTTGAACCGGTCAACCAGCCGGTTACCCGGCCGGGTGACCAACCGATCGACCGGTCTGATCTTGGTTTGAACAGGTTTGGTTTGGTTTGAACAGGTTTATTTTGAGAATGGTTATGTTGTGGACTTGGAATAATTTGAAGGGTGATATAAATTTAAATTCTCTTCAAAAAATAATTGAAATTGTTATCTCATATACATATTTTAGAACTAGCTGTTCGTTGGATAGACATAGTATTTTGAAGAACTAGCCGTTCCAATAATTTACCGTTAGATAGACAAAGTATTTTGAAAATTTACCGTTGATGATGTGTTCTATAAAATATATATGTTTCGTATATCAAGTTGATAGAGTATTTTATTTTCAGAATATTATTACATTGTATGCTGTGAATTTTGTTTCTTTGTTTCTTCTGTGTCATTTAGAAATTTGTTTCCCTTGAAAATTTAATTTATATTATCTGATTAAATTATCTGATTCTGAGGTTCAGTGTACATCATTTTAATATTTTTCAGTAACTTAGATATTGTATATACTATATTTTTTACAAACTATGGAAGATTTTGAAATGTTTGAGGAATCACAAATGTTGGAGCACAACAGTGATATTAATTTCATGTCGGAAACTTCACGAGAGCAGAACACGCAGAATAGCAATAATCATTTTATTTCAGAAACTTCTCGTGTTTCTCATGGTAAATCGTTTACAATTATAGAAGATGAAACTTTGTGTAGATCTTGGTTAGCAGTCTCTCAAGATCCTATTACTGGTAATAGTCAAACTATGGCTATATTTTGGGAACGAGTACTTGTTTATTTTAATTCACAATTGAGCGGTGAATCAAATCGAAACTGTATTTCTTTGTCCCACCGTTGGTCTAGCATGCAAAAGGCAATTAATAAATTCTATGATTTTCTTGAACAAATTCAACTGAGGCAACAAAGTGGAACAACTGAGGCAGACATGGTAAAATTTATTTGTCTTTCTACATATCAAATTTCTTTTGTAAATGTACACTTGTTATTACAATTTTTGTAATTTTTTTTGTAGGTCGCTGAAGCGAAGCGAATGTATCATGCAATACAGAAAAAACACTTTACATTTGATACATGTTGGGATATTTTGAGCCGAAGTTCTAAGTGGGATGAATTTTGAACACAATCCCAAAGAAGCACGCAACATGCTTATCCATGTTTGAATCCACCAACTGGAGAATCTGATGCATTTCAATCCAATCAGAATAATGCGGTGCATGAACAACCATCTAATACATCAACATGACCAATTGGTACTAAGGTAGCGAAAGAGAAGTTGAAGAATCAAACAACGCACGATAGTAGATTTGATGAAATGGCTACCAACCAATCCAAAATTGTTGAAGTGTTATCAACTATTTCCGTTAGAACTATTGAGCGAGATGAACAAAAGGCGATCGACCGTGAGCAGAAAGCTGCAGAGCGTCGAAGAAGAGCCGAAGATATGGAGGAACAACTAAAACTTCTATCTATGATGAATGAAATAGAACAACGAAATGAAGATCATAAAATAATGTCAATGGACATGACAATTTTAAATCCTATGCAAAGGGCGTACTACGAAGATCTTCAACGACAGATTTTATTTCAAACAACTAATAGATTGCCTTGAAAGGTTCTGTATTAGTGGGTTTCATCTATTGGTTTGATTATCTAAAAATATTACATCTAACTTGTGGTATTAGTTAGTTATATTGCAATTATTCATAAAGCATAAGTAATCATGTATTCACAATTTTATTAAATGAAACATAATGATTTATGGAACATCAAATTTCAAGTTCAATGTGGATTTATGGATTTTTGATTTTCAATGTGGATTTATGGATTTTTGCCATAGTTTTTGCCATTTTTAAAGTTCAAATTTTATGGATGACAATGGATTTTTATTAAACATCAGATTTTATTGAACATCAGATTGTAAGAATAATGATTTATAACATGATTTATTAAACATGATTTATTAGCATGATTTTGTTGCCTACTCTGTGGCTGCTACAACTGCTAATAATATAATAATTTCTAGTAATTTTTGGAGTTCTTTTTTATTATGTTTTTACTTCCTGATGTACTATGGATGAAATTTGTGAACATTCAATAAATATCAAGAATGTCAATCTTGGTGTGTTTTGGTTTGCATTGTGTTCTTCTGAATGAATCTAATTTACCTTTGGAATAAATTTTTGCAAATGCAGAACATGTGAACAAGCGAAGGTATGGCCTTTTTACCCCAAAGAGGCAATACTTACATGTTGATTTCAGCAACTAATCACAAAATTACAATACACATGTTTTCACTGCATTATGAAATGCAAAAGCATAAAGAATAAATTTAAGCCATGTTCAGGAAAGCACAACTACTACAACATTTTTATCTTGTCTGAACGAATAAAAAGAGTCCACTTCAACCTAATAATGTAAAAGGTATGCATTCTCTCTCATGGATCATCAAGTTGAAGAGAATAATATGAAGAGAAAAGTATTGAGAAATACAAAGTGCAGAAATGAAATATCAAAAACCAAAGAGCATTACGAGTAGCAAAATTAATTTCTTACTTGCAAATAAGGAACTAGTAAGAGAACCTTTATTGAATGTAGTAGATCAGATGATTTATAACATGACTACTATAACATGATTTATACCAGAAAATCATAACTGAATAATAACCTAACAAAAGGTTGTTAAAATACATAATGTCAAACACATCAACAGTCATTATCTGGTGGTGGTGGTGGAGGAGGGAAGTAGTGATGGTATATGTCATTTACGTGATGCTCAATCCTATCTATGCGATTGTTTGCCACTTCATGACGTCTTTCAATGTCCACACGAAACTCACCAAATTGTTGAATTAATGAGTTCTGCGCAGTGGCAAATGTATCAAACTGAGTACCCAACGAATTAACCTGATTAGCCATTTGCTGTTCCCATTGAACGCGTTGATTATAACGTTGTTCTTCCATGGCCATAAACTCAGTCCAATATGGAGGTTGTTCAGTTGATAGCATCACATTGGTAGGAGGATCTTCTGGACCATCATCCGGTGGGTCTTCATCTTCTGAAGCATTAACACTTCCTATTAAATTGGAGGCTGCACCAGCACGGGTCACTGTATACTGAGTAATGGGTGAACGGATTTTGATCTCCATTTCATCTACCAGGCGAACCCTAAAATGTTTGAAAATTTTTGTCAAGAGTGCCCCAAACAATAATGACCGGCCTGTGAATTGACCTTGATTTTTGAAAATCATTTTTTTCATAATTATGTAACACAAATCTAACTTATGGCCAACTTCAAAACAGTATAACAAATAGGCATTAAAATATGGGACCGCATCATGATGTCCTTTTTTTGGAGTGACATTTTCCACAATCCACCGGTGGAGAATCCGAAGATAAGGTTTTAAATGTCTTGCTTGTAAACTAGTTCCAATAAATCTATTCTGACAAATAGTAGTATATACATCAGTAGCATTACCAAAAATATTAGCTAACTCAGCCTCAGTCTGATAATGGATATTTTCATCACCTACATCAACTCCTATAATGCTTGCCAAAGTAGGAATATCAAACTGCATACCCTTTCCTTTCACATATGATAAAAGAGTAAAATTTCCATCGTCTTCCTGAGTAGCTCTTAAGTGAACATAAAATAGAGATACGAGTCGTGGATATACCTTTTGGGGTAAATTAATTAAATTTAGCCATCCCATTGCTTCAAGTTTACTAACTAATAGTGCATCATATTGAGGTGGCAGATTTACCCTCCTCCCTGTTAGGCCTGTAAATGGATCGGATTCAGATCGGATCTGTCAAAATCCGAATCCGATCCGATTATGTCAAACCCGAATCCGATCCGAATCCGTTTAGTCTATATCCGATTATAGATATCCGAATCCGAATCCGATGATTTCGGATATCCGATCCGATCCATTTATTTATTTATTGAGCTACAATTTTATATAATTTGATTTTTTTTTTCATTTTGTGTTTTTTTTCATTCAAATTGAGAATATTCAGATCGGATTATCGGGTTATCGGGTCGGGTCGGATTTTTGCAGATTCAATCCATTTAATAAATGGATTAAACGGATTCGGATTATCGGGTTATCGGATCGGATTTTTTGTAAACGGATTCGGATTATCGGGTCGGATTCGGGTTAAATCTGATCCATTGACAGCCCTACTCCCTGTTATAATAGGTCGGCTGTAGAAGTTTGGAAAGGCTAGTTCATGACTTGCACTGAGAAAATCATCAGTAGGATATGACTGATTTTGAGGCTACTGTTCTTGGCGTTGTGGAGGGTTGGAACTTTCACCAACTTGTGGTCTCGGTCTTTTAGTTCTAGGTATGATGTCAATAGCTGTTGAATTTTAATGAATATGTGTTACATATGAAAGCTGAATTACAATTGGCTTAGTGTTGTTCTAGTGTTATGGTGAACAATGTAAAATATGCAGTGTTTGTTAATGAAAACATGAACTTAGAACTCAGATATTCTGTAGTTTTAATAGTACAATGCATATTATAATGGAAAAACATGAAAGCATTCAGTATGCATACTAATTGGTTTTGCATGGTAATGGAAAATGCATTTTGAAATGGAAAGCATTTTTATGCAGTGTTTTTACTTCATGTTATGCACTAATTGGTGTATGCTTAGAATGGTACAGTAATTTTTATATCACAGTGTTTTTACTTCATTCATTTTTATACTGAACTGCATACTAATTGGTGTATGCTTCATGGCACATTAATTTTTACTTCATGTTATGCAGTGTTTGTTGTTCATGAGTGCATACTGAAACTAAAAATCAAAGAAGTTCTGAATGTAAAATATTGAAGATATGAATGTTATGAATGTAAAAATCAGAGAAGTTAGCAATGTAAAAATATTGAACATGAATGTAAAATATCAGACAAGTTATGAATATTGAACATGAATGTAGAATATTGAACATGAAGATTGAACAATGTAAAAATATTGAACCTTTAGCAATGTAAAAATATAGAACATGAATGTAAAATACTGAAACTAAAAATCAGAGAAGTTATGAATGTAAAATATTGAACATTGAAGTTATGAATGTAAAAATCAGAGAAGTTCAGAAGTGCATACTGAAATTAAAATATTGAACATGAATGTAGTTTGATTAAAATATGAATTTTATGCTATTGAGAAGGTTAAAATTTATCAAATTAAGCATAAAATTGAACAAATACAGCATGCACACTGAAAGGGAAAAAAAAATAAAAAATAACAAAGGGCTGGTTGACCAACCGGTTGACCCGTGCCATACCCTGTTTTGGATGCTGCTTTCTTGTTCTGCTGCTGCTTTCTTGTTCTGCTGATGTTTTGGGATGCTGCCTTATTACCTTCTTGTTCTGCAGAGTTTGGGATTACAATTTGGTTCAGCTCAATTTGAAGGTGGTGGTGGATGGATTTTGTAGAGTGAATAAAGTGAATTTGTTGATACTGATTTTGTATACAATCTTCAGCTCATATAGAGGCTGAATTATTCAGGTAGGTGGTGAGGAAATTAAGACTCAACAACCATGGTGTGTAAAATGAGGCATGGTAGGTGTGTAAAATGAGGCATGGTAGGTGGAATGAATTTAATGAATGGTAGGAATTGATATATCATAATGAATGGTAGGTGGTTCAAAGTATGCATTGTCTGTAGTATGTCATGAATGTTATGCAGTGCATGCATTTATTCACTGAGTAAATGAATGGCAACATTATTAAGTATTTTTTAACTCTGTATGTTGAATGCATTTCAACTGAGGAAAAAAATGAATGGCAAGATCAACATCAGTAAATGAATGACACATCAATTAATTTGTATAAATTTGTACAAATAATGATTATGCAGTAATTAAAGCTGAATTATTAAATTAAGATAAGTAATTTAAGACATTATTATTAAATTATGATTATGCAGATGAACATCAGTAATTTGTTGTTCATTATGATTATGCATATGAACATCAGTAATTTAAGACATTATAATTATGTACATGAAGATCAGTAATTTGATACATTATTAGTAGCATTATCATTTAAGACATGATTATTAAATGTGCATAAATGGATGACAATTTTATCATTTGTGTTCTAATAATACTGAATTGAACACAGAATTTAAGACATGATTATTAAAATTATGTGGTTCAGACATTATTATTATCATTTGTAATTCTCATAAACTGAACACAGAACAATTCTAAATATTAAAGATTGGATTATTACAACAACACATCATCACATAACTTCTAAATTACTTGGTTAATATAGTGCATCATAATGAAGATTACAAACAAGATTTCAATTTC